CTTTCAAGAACTCTCTGTGTTGTTCTTGAAAGTTCTTCTCTTTGTAAGATTGGTTAGGTTAGGTTTTCCTTTCCTATCTTCCGCAACAATCTTTTGTTTTTCTGTGTGTATTAATTCTTGATATAAATCAATAAGAATTAAAAAGTTGAAAAAATCTGTGTAATTGTATTCAACCCCCCCTTCTACAATTACTTTCTGCTTATTGCCTTGCCCTTCGGGACTAACACTAACATTTTCAATAGCTCTCCCAACTATTGAAAATCCATCTTGCACAATAAGGTTAATTATATGTGCACAACATCGTATATGAAATATCTTCCCTTTTAACATTAGCGATGAAGAAGAAAGAGTACCTAAAAGCTTGTTGATTATTGCGTCATTTGTCGAGCAATTGTCAAGAGTCAAAGTTGACAGCTTGCTGTCGACATTCCAATCGAGAAGACACTCCATCATAGCTTGTGACAATGCTTCGGCCGTGGGTGGAGATGACACGTGTATAAAGCTGCATTAAACAAAATAAGAGATTATTATCAATAAATTAATCCACGATATAATCTAGAGATGCTATATTAGAGATTATTACCTGATGATTTGATTATGTAAACTCCATTTGCCATCTATATAATGTGCCGTAATCGCCATGTAACCTTTCTTTTGGTTACTTGCTGTCCACATATCTGAAGTTAAGGCAATCCTACTCTCATTCTCATCCAAACACCGCAAAGTGTAACCTCTTCGTTTTTCATAAATATTCATTATGTCACTCTTTATTGTTGCTCGAGATGGTACCTTAAATAAAGGTTGGAGACCTTCTGAATATTTTCGAAAACCATAGTGCTCGACAATAGAAAGCGGATAATCATGTATAATAATCATTTTAGCTAAGTCTTCCCTACAAAGTTCAGCATTAAATGAATATTTACTCATTTTCCCCTTTCCTTCGTTGGCTCTACCCTTTAGTTGTTTATTGCAATAATTAGACCTTGCAAATCGTCTAACACCATCAACATACACTTGTTCAGAATGATTCCAAACAACCGACTTTAATCTTTTTTGTGGTTGTTCGTTGCTCGTGTTAGTGTTAGTCCCTACATGCATGCTTACGAATTCGTAAGTATCATCATCAGTTATTTCTTGTTCCTTGTTTCCTTCCATCTCATTCTCATCACCAAGTACGTTCTCATTTTCCGAAGATTCCATCTAAAATTAAAAAGATTGTATGTCATAATGTGAATGAAAAAACCATTAATGAGAATATATAATAAACTTACAAAGTACAAACCTAAAAGCATCTAAAATTAATGAAAGATACTCATAATAACAACTCATTCAAAAATCAAAACTACACACAGCTTATAACAACTCTGCACTTAATGCTTTCATCCACAGTGATAGTTGCAAGTTTGCACAAGGAATAACATAGTGATATTTGGAATATAGCAATCAATCACCAATTCCATCTTTCTGCCAAGTGCCAACTAGGTGTGTTCACGGGTTGGGTTGATCGGGCTGAAGACATTTGGACAACCCAGCTCAACCCAACCCAATCCGTACGGGTTGGTCGGGTTGATACTTTGGTACATCAAAATATTCTTTTAACCTTAAATATGTTATTTCTCTACTCATAATTTTTTTTTCATCATCAACCATTTGATACAACTTATCCATACTTCTTACGTATATCACACATTCAGTTAATTTTCTCAATTTACATATATATATATATATATGTTCACAATTACTGAACATATATACGAATGAGTTATATAGAGACGTGAATAAATTGAAAATATGTGTATATGAAGAGCATACATGATAGTGTAATTGTCTAATGTATATATTAATATAAATTCAACAATCATATTAAATCCAAGAAATAAAAGGATATCGGGTTCAAATAATAGTAACCCAATATCAACCCGATACCTACGGTTTGACAATTTTACAACTCGATTAGACATCGGGTTGCTTCGAGTGAAGTTATTTCGCGTTAAGTTGGGTTGGGTTGATCGAGTTGGTCGGGTTTTTGAACACCCCTAGTGTCAACTTCTTTTTATTGAGTTTATACCTAAAACACATATTATTGTGATTGCAGGGCTGCAGGCACATGATATCAACAAGAACCTATGAATGATCATCAATAATAAAGGAAGTCAAAAACCTAATTTGTTTAAATAAGCTGACTAGCCACAATAATATATTAATTTGGATCCACATTAGGAACATATATAACAATCAAAGTGGTAGTATAAAATGGTAGATGATTAATGGAAACATACTACCACTTCGTAAAAGCTCAAACTCTAGTTAAGCTAAACCATAACCAAGAAGGCAAGAAGATTGACTGATTGAAGACATACCTTTCAGAACTTGAATCCGTAGCCCAGTAGCCCACCGCAAGTCCGCGACTAAAAACCAGGGAGAGGGAGAGCCGGAGGGAGTCGCGGGTCGCCGTCGGCCTGTCGCCGTCGCCGTCGCCGATTAGGGTAGCCTGGTCGGGAGAGGGAGTCGCCGCGCCGTCGTACTCGTACACTAGGGAGGAAATTGTAGTCGTAGTCGTACAATGAGGAGGGAGGATGTGGTAATGTGGACTGAACTGGAGGAAGGACGCATTACATTTTACATTTCACAGCCCACAGCCCAAATTCATATATATATACACATTACATTTTACATTTCACAGTCCACAACCCAAATTCATATATATATATATATATATATATATATATATAACAGGTACGGGGCGGAGGGGAGTGCTATACCCGTCCCTAGCTTGCGCCGGCGGAATCCCCGTCCCTAGGACCCGATTTTCCGGGGAATCCCCGTCCCCGACCGGGGCGGGTGGACCGGGTTACCCGACAGGTCAGGGTCCATTCCCATCCCTAGTCAAAATGCATAAGAAATAAAAAGAATTAAACGCTTGTTGCACTAAACGAAGAAAAGTTAATCGTTCCACTAAATGAAAACTAGGCTAGACTTTGTTGCATTTTAACATTAATTTAGTAGGCGCAAGGCTCTATTTTTTACTCCTTTTGTCCAAGAAAACCACATGATCACACATTGTAAATTTCTCAGAGCGATAACCGAATGAACCTTTAAACTAACGGATACTCGAAATATATTATTAGCATTAGAAGCAGGGGCGGACCTATGAACAGGTCTTATGCACCCTCTCAACTTATTTTTGTAAGTATAATTTTTTTTGTATGAAAGGTGCACCCATTGAACTTTAAAGAGTGTTCCGGGATATTAGAAAATATGAAAAACATCAACAAAAAAACTGAAAAAAAATTCCTTGATACGGTGGAATTCAACTAAGAAACATATCGGACGACTTTACAGACCTTTGATTCATCTTAAAAGTGAATCCACTAGGTAAAAATTCTTGATCCACAACTAGTAAGGTCAAATCCAAGAGTTCATGAACAGGATTTTAGACTTGTAGATTTTCTTGGTCGGTTATTTTTGTTTTTTAAATCCATAACCTTCTAACAAATTTTTAGGCACTTATATGATATATTCTCAAACCAGTCAGAAAGTCATTGATTAAAAAACCTGACAAAAAAGGTCATGGATTCAAAAAACCCACGACAAAAAAAGTCATTTAACCAAAGAACCCATGCATAACAACATACAAAACGAATCAATCAAAAACAAACCCCAAGATCCATGCTTGAAGCTCTAGCAATTCAAAACACACCCACACACCTATTAAACATACATGCCAGGATTAATACCATGTATTATTTTTCTATTTCTATAATAATATCAAAGGAGCTTTGTTCTGTATATACACATTATCAATATAATTTTACTCATGTATAGCTAGCTTAAACAAATACTAGCAATTTATACAATAATAACGTAGATGTACACGATTTTAATTCTATCTGTAAAACGGGTAGTAGACAAAGATGGATGATCAACGGGCGCTCACGACGAAAGGATGCTGGCAGACACTGCATTCTATGGTTTTTGAACCGCTACCTGGAACCTTAACCTGAAAAATAAATACACCATCTCTAAATATCAACCTCAGCTACATACAGATCGGAAATTTCAATATAAAGAATTTTATATTTAATATTAAAAAACACAGAAAGTGAAACAAAACAGCCTTGGAGAAAAGAATATTTATTGTTCAGATAGAGAATAGCAAACCTGCAAATGGACTGTGCAAGTTGGACATTCTACCTCTTTCATTTGCTCATCGGCAACATTGGATTTCAATTCTGTACAAGTACTACGATGGTGAGTGAATAAAATCTAGCATGCGTTTTGTAAAATAAGAAAAAGAAATGGATAACAAGCAGATCATCGTGAACAAGAATGATGACGATGGTCGACACAGCTAAATGATCTTAGGAGTAAAGTACTATTGTTATCGGTACCACATTTCCCACTTAACAGTTTTAACTCACAAATATAAACAACATCATGAAATGACTATTATGCTTGTTCAAATGACATAAGTCTTGCTTATAGATGAACATTAATGGGTTGCTTCCAGATCCAATCATGGGCTCATAAGAAGAACATTAAGGAAGAGTTTAACTTAATGAAGCCGAGCTTCTCTCTGCTCTCAAGACAAAAAAAATGCTCTCATCACCGGTGATGGTGTTCTCGAGCTCACCAGTGTCAGCTCATAATTGATTGGCAGCACGTTGTACCCAGACAAGATTCGTTTTAAGAACGCCGGTAAATAAGGCTTCAGTCATGGATGGAGATTGTAAAACTGGGAATTACTCAGATTTCTTGCAAAATTTTGACCTGGGACCTAGGAATTCAGTTTTTAATTGATCTCCTCCATTCAAGCTTTGGTTCCTTATGAGTTATGACCAGGTTTTAACACTCAGATTGCAACATTCGTGACCTGGATTAATGCAGATTCAAACATATGGGGTTTTACGATCTCCTGAATTGCAACGAGCAACAGGGTTTCACAAAAAACGAAGCTTTAACTATGGACCAGTAAGGGGTTATTTGACCGATTTGGTCCAAAACCAGAAGTCTTCAATGCAAGAATGATGAACCGGGGTCTTCAATGCAAGAATTCTTTGATTAGGAGATCAGCCACATTGTAGCATGAAGTTATAACGTTCAAAAACCTCTGCTAATGACCAAAACTTTGCCTATCTGGTTTGCAATGCAGCTAACCTCCTATGCATATGACTAAATGTATTGAACCATCAAGTTGTGAGACAGACAGTCTGAATCCTTCAAAAGATGGATTGAAGGAACATCTTCTCCATGTGTGACTCAATCTCATTATAATTGTTTGGGAACATATATAGATTAAGCATTCAGCACACTATCAGAAAGTCCTGGATGATGGTTCTTACCTGCTGCTGTTTTGCGCTTCTTTTCCATCTCCTCCTGTTATCCAGAAACAAATGAGAAAACTATATAAGATTTATATTCGTGTATGGGTGATTAAGAAAATAAACATTAACAACCATAAATATAAAATATCAGTCACTTCCAGAAGAGAAAACAATTTTAAAATATATGTCCACGAGAAGGTTCAGATAGTGAAGACAAGATTACAGACAGCAAAAATAAGAATTAGCATCAGGAATTAGTGTTCATAGGCTTGATAATTTTTATTCCTCTGATGCTCATGAAGAAGTGACATATTTGGATTCTTATTTCTTGATTTATGGCAAGAATATTGGTTTGTCACTGAAACAGGCCATAAACAATTCAAGAGTTGTTAACAATTGAGAGCAAGGTGCAAGTTATAGTATCAAAGGAAAAAAGTACAAGTTGGGTAGAAGATATTATAATAAATAAGAGCTTTAAAAACATGTAGTTGAGATTAAGAGACAAGGCGACGGAATCATATTAGCCAAACTATGTGGAGGTGGTCTTGTATCTTGTAAAAATCTTTCACCTTTGTATTATACCTTTATCTCACAAGCCTCGAGCGTATCCATTCTTAACGACATTTAGGATGCTCTAAATGATCCCAAGTGGAAAGAAGCTGTTCTTGAGGAAATGATAGCTTTGGAAACAAATGCTACTTGGGAGAAAATGGATTTGTTAGATGGGGAGAAAGTAGTTGGTATGCAGACTGGTATTTACATTGAAGTACGACCTTAGAAAGATCTAGTAGCTAAAGGGTTTACTCAGACCTATGGTGTGGACTACATGAGAGACTTTTTCACTGGTAGCGAAGTGGAATACGGTTCTTGTACTCTTGTCAATTGCTGCCAACGTCGACTGGCAACTAATCCAACTGGATGTTGAAAAATGTATTTTTGAATGAAGACTTGGGAGGAAGAAGTATATATGGAGCCACCACCTGGTTTTACTAAAATTTGGAAGTAAGGTCTGTAAGAAAAAACAGTCTCGGTATGGATTTAAACAATCCTTAAGAGCCTGGTTTGAAAGGTTAGCAAACTTTGTTAAAAGCCAAAGATATAACCAAGGACAATCTGACCATATGCTCTTTACAAAGAAATCCTTCAATGACAATCTTTGTTTTGATTGCCTATGTGGATGACGTCATTGACCGGAGATGATATAGAAGAGATAGACAGGTTGAAGACGACTTTGGCCAGGAAATTTGAAATTAAAAACTTAGACCAACTAAGGTACTTTCTTGGGATGGAAGTGGCAGGATCAAAAAAGGATATTGTGGTTTCACAACAAAATATATTCTTCATCTCTTAAAAGAAAGAGGAATGAGTGATTTCAAACCATTGGACACTCCAATAGAGGCTAATGCCAAGGTTGGGGAAACAAAAGATGGAACTCCAGCAAATACACATTGACACCAACTACTAGTTGGAAGGTTGATTTATTTACCACATGCACGTCCTGAGATTGCTTTTGATGTAAGCATGGTAAGCCAAATTATGCATTCTGCAAGTGAAAAACACCTTAAATCCATATAAAGAAGTATTGAGTGTCTAAAAGGCGCACCTGGAAAAAGGACTTCTCTTCAAGAAAAATGAGAAGAGAGGGGTTGAGGTGTATACAAATGCAGATTGAGGAATTTCGACAACTGATAGAAGGTCAACTTCAGGCATTATGCATTTATTTGGGGCAACTTGGTTACTTGGGAAGTAAGAAGCATAGCGCAGTTGCAAGAAGCAGTGTTGAGGCAGAACTTGATAGATATTTTATAGAGGAGAAGATCGAGAAGGGGATAATTTGCACATCATTTGTACCTACAACATTGCAGATGTTCTTCCTAAAAGACCATATTAGAAAGTGATGTACACCCGATCAAGACAGTAAAATCAAGGGTAACTTCTGGTTAGATGAATAAAGGGTTCTGGCTTTCAAGAGGCCAGAATCTCTCCACAGACTCACGTCCAAACAGAGGTTACAGAACAGATACCCTCTCCAATGCCCCATACACTTTTTTAACTGGTTACTCTGGCTACTTTTCCCTTTTTACCCCTCCCCTGCCTCTATTGACTACTTACCCATCCTACCCCTTTCCTCCTTCTAGCCATCGTAACTAATAGTATCCCTCCGGGGTATATCAGAATGTTAGGCATGATAACAGCTTTGCACCAACTCTAGGGGGGTGTCATAATGAGGCAGATTTATTTAGAGGTTGTAGCTAGTTGCCCAATACCTGAAATATGTCGATAGGTCTAGGAAGTCAACATCCTAGAATCAAGGGTGAGATTTTGTCGACCCCTAATTATGGGAGATTTCTAGGATTCTCTTTCCTAATTTTCTTTTCAACTTTTTTTTCTAATAATTAAATTGTATACTACTGTCTTAAAGAAAACAGTTAAGACAGCAAAAACAACCTTCTACTCATGTTTGGTTATTGTTTCTAAAAATCAAAAGAGATCTTCAGAGAAAATATGTGCAATGTTGTAGGAAAGCAAAGAAGCATGTAGCATCAAGCTTGTTTCGCTGTGTTACAGGAAAATGTGGTTATGTTGTGGCTAAACTTCCCATTGTAGGCTTAAAGAGAAGGAGAACATGCTGCCATGAATCCTCTTGACTTCTTGATGGAGTGACCCTCGTATTGCCTTTCAAAAGTAACTTAGCAGCAAGGCGGTCAAAAGTGAGAAACATCGTCACAAGACTGGACGGCTAAACCAGAACCAAAAAGCCTTCAACAACCAGGAGCCACCCAAATAATTGATATAGCTACTCAATCTCTATCAAATAGATCTCTGAGTTAAGAACCCTTCAATTAAGCTATTGCCATGTCTGAATAATGTTTGGGAGTTCCTCAAATACTTGACCAGGTGACTGGTGAGCCATACTAAACAGCATTTCTCTGGAGCAGGAAGACCTAAAGCATAAACCCTTTTTTTACTCCTAGGAGTTAAGCTCTCATTGCTCAAGACATATCAATGTTATTCAACTTTATTAGGTATTAGAGCAATGTGTACTAGGTTATTGGTTCCGTCCTTCCACTTGGATTAAGTTTTTAAGAGCAAGATTTGTTCTCAGAACGATATACTATATATATATATATATATCCATCCATTATGCACCTTTCTTTCATACAGGAAAACTTTCATTCATAACAGTTCATTTGCAGATTGACATGCTTGCTAATATATATCCAAAATGATCTCCATCACTTGTAAGGAATAGTACTAGGCCAAAGAGGAGTACAACCAGATACGTGTCACCTGGGGAATCAACAAAATTTGGCGCAAGTGGAGAAGACTCACTAGTGTCTAAGGTTTCATGAGCATAAGCACAGAATAAACTCTATAAGAAACAGCTGAGGACTACTAGGAGTTATACATGCTCTATCACCTATTATGAAACAATAACAAGCATAAACCACATTAAATACTTGATGACATGATTGAAACTAGAAAATAGAACTAAAAGGAAGTAGGTGAAAATAAGAGCTACTATCTCCAAGGCATCATATATAAAGAACATGCAGGCTCTAATAGATGTAAAGCCATGTGAGCATGAAAACAGATCGAAGTTGAATGAAGTGGTAGAAAGGTATGCCAGTTTGTGGTTAGCTAGAAGCTTCAAATTTAGTCATTAATTGGTTAAATTGATCAAGCTGCAAACCACGAGTAGTTAGAACAACAGTTTAAGTTTGTGTGGTGTATCATATATTCATATCCTTATGATCCCTCCCAAATTTAAATACAACCAGATAATGAAATGGTGAGTTGAGGGCATTAATACTTCACCGGTTTTTCAGACAAGGGCAGGTAGCAATTTGCACATGTTATAGCAGCAATAACACACTTCATGGCTATTGCTTCTCTGTTATATATTCATATTACAACTTTGGACCATGACAATGAGGAAGTGCAGCACACGAAAACGAAGTTCCTGTAAGATTACAAGTCTATACCTGAAGTTTCTTTGCAAGATCCTCATGTCTATTGAAGCCTGAAGGTCTACCAGCTACCTCATTTACATGACTCAGCCTCTGAGTAACTTCTGCCTACAAAAAGAAAGAAGAAACAAAGGACATCAATGAGTAGGAAATGAAAACACCAACATGTCATACACCCGTAAGAGTTCCAATCAGTTTTTATGGTTCAATGCAATGAAAAATATGAACAAGTGATCCGGGGCTGGTTAGCAGATAAAAGTAGTATCATCATCAATCCGATTAGAACCATAATGTTTTAATAGTATTTCTCAGATGTATGAATTGCCATGATATCAAGAAGAATTACCAGCCTTAGTTTGGATACAAATAAAAGAGAGACCGTCATCTCAGCATGGATAGGCCAAGCATGACCGATAATGAACAAAGCTCCTTTACTGAGGTGGAGTTTGATTGTTTTTAGAGGAAAATAACTTCCTTTGGCACTTAAGAAGACCTCTAAGGTACGGAAAATCCTTAAGAATCTTCTGATGATGGTATGGAAAATCCTTGTTCCTTCTGATGATGGTATGGAAAATCCTTAGCAAGTTGGCTCAATTCCATAGCAAGGGTTAAGCCAAATTTATAGTTGGTAAGGATGTTCATAATATCTCAGTATGTATCAGCTTTTCTTAATAATTTTTTTTTTTTTGTATTTTCAGAAATAAGTTGGCTCAACTTCTTGCTTGAACTTGAATCAACGTTCTAATAGAATATTTAGAGGGCCAGGTAAATGGCAAAGTCATGTTGATCTTGTGTAGGATGTCCTTACAACTAAAACTTGATGTTTGATAAAGGCAGAACAAAACTGTGGCACTTTAATATGTAACCATGTCACCCTGAATATTTAGAAGACCAATTAGGTTGTGCTAAACAGGATCGCTTCAGAGTTGTCTTTTTATGATCAAAACTCCGTGACAAGCATTTTAGCAAGCTTATTGACGTCACATATTTGTAACTAGTAAGAAATACCTTAAAATCAGTTTATAATTTGCACTAACTGAACCAAGCTAATCCAGTCTATCCGATTCAGAGGTGGGGTGATGAGATAACAGAGATGTAGGCAGACCTGACATCCACTCCAAAGAGTTTAACAATCCAAATCCCAATTTTATTTGCATTACATCTCTTACTGCTATCTAAATACATGTCAATTTGCAGTATTATTCATCATGCCTCTTATCCAACCATAACAGTGATGCATTGAACCTTCTTGGTGAACCTGAGACATATTTAACTCAAGTAGAAGGCCATAACATGATGGTAATAACCAGCAATAGCATCAAATGATCATTTTTTGAAGAAGAGCATAAAAAAATCTCTCTTCATGGATCAATACTGTGGAAAAGAAGAATGCCACAATTTTTTAAGCGTACCATGCATTGGTCGCAAACTCGGACTTGCTGAGCATTCTCTTCTGCTGTGAGAGCAATTCTACCTTGAGTGCACTTGTCACAAAAAATATCACCACAATTTCTACAGTGATGCTGAAATAAGGAAGCAAAGGGGCAAACAAGGAGGTTAAAAAATCAAGACAAGTGATAACCCTCATCAAAAATCAAAATTAAAAGAACAACTTGAGAAAAGGCTAACCCTTCGCACAAAAGCTCCAAAATATGTGCTACAAGCTGTGCACTTGGTGGATGCTTCATCCGGAACCTACATAAGAAAATGAGAACCAGTGGTAAAACAACTTCTACTAGTCGCATCTATTATTTGACAATTAATAGAACCCCAAAAACTGAAACTAAATTGCAACTTTCTGTTAGTTCAAAATTGACACAATTTAGAAGATTAAACTAACCCAGTGGTCTTTCTCCTCATTGCCAGGCTTCATCAAGTTTTTCCAATCAGGGAAGCCTTTTTTCTTCTCAGCTGGTTGTTCAGAGATCGTCACTCCATCCATCTCCTTGAGCTACATCATGATAACAAGGATGAGTATGCTCGTTTGAGTTACTATCAACAAGAAAGCTAAGCAACATTCGGGCACAGATACATGGCCGAAAGCAAACAAGCCAAAAGCCATCTATTAAGCACACAACCATCCCAATTTCATGGGAACTGGGTCCAATTTAGATTCTATAGGCATACCCATTGATGTACATAGAACATCATACCTGTATGTAATTGCAGGATCCCCTGACTTGATTATAAGCAACCAATAAAAATGGAAAAAAGTATGTTAAGCACGCAGGGTCCATCCAATAATGGGATTTCTTATCTTACTCCCTCCCCATCATTAAAGGGGTCTCATGAATTTAAAAAAAGCAATATATGGATTGTGAGATGGTTAGCATGAAATTCTATACTCCACTCATCACCCCCCTCAACACAACCCAAGTGAGGGAAAAAGACCAAACCAAGTTTGGATAGATAATCATGCATCTAGTCTGATTTTTTTTTTTTTTGGAGGTTGGTATTAAAAATGATTTTCATCAACTCTGATCATGAAATATAGATCAAAGCCCAGGTAATACATAGATAGTTCAGGCCTCCAACGACTTCTAGCAATTTTTGATCTTAGGCGTGTCTAGAACTACTTGTAGCCTACCCCACCTAGTTTGGATCAAAGAATCCCTATATAGAAACTACTTCTAGAGCACATAATTTGCATTAATATGTCAAAATAATTTACTAAAATTGGGAGATAAAGAGCAGTGTGTAAATAAATTAGGACATTCAAATTTGCATTGAGTATCCCGGAAATAATGTACTAAAATTTGGACAAAAAGAACACTGTAAATAAATTAGGACATTTGTTAACAAAACCATGTTTTCTTATCTTAAGTTAAGGGATAGGTTGATAACTTCTTTACTCCGCCAACCAAGCACATGTTATGTGCAAAAAACATTTTGCTCATTTGAAATGGAAAGGAAGGCGAAAATGAGTTTATGTAGCGTCGCAATTAATGCATATGCTCTGAGAAAGTATACTAGAGTTCTAAACACAAAATTAGTTATAGAAATTTCTCTTATGTTATCTCCTTCATTTTCATGCACATCAGGGTTACCTAAAAGAAAGTTACCGTCTCGTCTACAGGTAAATCAGGAAACAACTACCAAACTGGTGAATCATGGTTAGAAGGTTCGGTGGGGGTGGGTTACTAATATTGGCACACATGTTCCTTACTGTGAACAGCGATCTCACACTCATAATTCTATTGTTTTCTACTTGTTATTTCTAGTTAGATACTTTCAATCCTGTAAACAAAATTACCTAGGTGAATGGTTGTACTAACTGGATCGGATTAATGAGTGACAAATTTGGCACTTGCAAGTTGCAATGACAATGGGGGAGGGAGCCAGGGAGATGACCAATTATTTAAGATATTCTTATATACCACACATCAGAGAAAATCAACAGGAAGTAAACTTAAATGCCTTCCCTTAGTTATTGGCACAAAATATTACTATACCTACTATGCATGCAGAAGCAATGTATTAAATGAACCAACATAGCATCAATGAAACAAAATCATAAATTCACAATCTGAAGAAATACGAATGTGTGGTACTACAGAACCTGAAAACTTGCAGCAGCCACCATGTCGAGAATATTGGTTGTGGTATAACTGTTGGACTTTAGTCTGACACGTCTTGCTTCAATGTCAACGGAACTTTTGGTCCAGAAAGCAAATATATTTGAACCCAAGACCTGAAAGACAAGGAAGAATTTACAGTGACATTTCAAATTCTAACAAGAAACATAGGTTTTCTAATTTCAGTCAACATGATTAGTTGCTTACCTCCCATCTTGTCACAGTCTCAAGGGAATAGACTTTCAGTATTCGACTTGTTGCAGGATCAAGTATTTGAATACCGTCTAAACCAATCTGCAGATAAACAATAGAGCAGAAAGTGATCTCTCAGTAACCAGTTACTTGACAAACAAGGAAACGGAGTCAATATAAAACAAAAATCCTAATTCATACACATAATGCAACCTATTCACGACCTTGCAGTCTTGTGTATTGCCTAAATCCTGACTATTACACTTCGATTGGTTTAAGAGTACAGAATTCCTATAGGCCAAGACTTGTGTCTTTAGGATTCACACAGGGGTTTTATCATTTAATGCAAAGAAAGTAGACCTTCAAGGATTTAAAAACGAAAACTAGCATAAGTTAGGAACACAAATCTGCAGATTTTTGGCCAACCTTCATGCTGTATGGGTTTAAATTTCTTTAAATAGTAATTAACAACATTGCACTATTCACGATGACCCAAAAAGCCACAGAAAAATCTGATATAACAGCGAATTCACAAAATATACAAAAACAAACCTGACATAGCACATCCATGTCTCCCTGAGCTCCACCCCCTTCAGAGAGAAGCATTACACGGAATTTCTGAACTCCGCTCCTCACATCCTCATTCACCTCCACTTTGGGTGTACCTTTTACAATCTTATCAGCATCCAATGACGCGATTAAACCCCTCTGTTCATTCCCGCCATTGGTGGCAGAATTTATAGGTCTTCCGTAATCATCAAATCTCAGCGCAGGCACCCTAGATGACCGATCTTTCCCGCCGTTGTTACCTCCACTATAAGCATAAGCATTTTCATCAAAATCATCACTTTTCAGTATCTTTGACCCCATCTGCTCATTCTTCCCACCATCAGCAAAACCTATAGGTCTCCCGTAGTCGTCAAACTTAACCGCCGGCACCTTCGAAGACTCAACCTGCCTACCGCTATGACTTCCAGTGTAAGCATACACACTTTCCTCAACTATAGCACCTCCAAACTCCACGGCTCTCTGACTCTGATTCTGATCATACGGGTGGTTATAATACCAAGAAGGCACCGACTTCGGATCATAACTAGGATTACTCGAATCAAAGTTCTGGACCGCTCGATTCTGATGATCATTAGGGTAGTAAGTAGAGGGGTAAGTATTGGAGTAATCGGTGGGATGGTAAATGGAAGGATCTGGAGGAGCAGACGCGTTTGCAGCAGTAGGAAAGTGATCGAATGGGGGATTAGGTATAGGGTTTTGGATGTCAGATTGGTGATAATCGTAATACGAAGATGATGGATAATTCATCTCGTTCTGATGATGCATATCGCAAATCAGGGTTTCGTCTGATCAAAATAAGGGTTTAGATGGACCGAACAGGCAGATACGAATTGGGTTTCGATTTGGCGTGTGAGAAAGACTGATTGTTGCCGAAGGAACACGAAGAAGACACAAGGAAAGTGTGCGTGTGGTTTACCCGCCAAATATCGTTAGGAAAGACGATTGGGTCGGGTCCACTCAATGTCGGTCGGGGCTGTTCGGCGTTGTCTTCACGGAACTGTGAGTTGTGACCGTGACCCATCGGTATTGTAAATTACATTCTTACCCTTTTATTTGATGACAAGGGCACAAAGCCTGCATAAAATCTAAATATTATTTTATTTATTTTTATTCGTTTTACTCGTATTTTTTTTTTTTAATTTTAGAGTAAGGGATCGTTTACCAAACAGTTTATCTGGTAAGTGTTTATCGGTAAAATTTAACACTATTATTTACTTTTCGGGTAGGATTTAGTCCACCAAAACGACATCGTATACAACAATTTACACGGTAAGCGCTTACCGTGGTAAGAGTCGTCGCCCTCACTTACCGAGTAAGACTGTTGGTCCTTATCTTGCTCTTACCGGGTAAGATTCTTGATTCTTACTATTTTTATTTTTTGTGAGGTAATGTTACTTGATAAGCGTTTACCCGGTTAAGGATTTGGTAAACGGCCCCTAAACTACAAATTTCTTCCTTATGATTATACTAGTTGTATACCCGCGCAATGCGGCGGGATGTGAAATTTTGAGAAGATGTAAATGGGCATATCGATTACGGATAAAAATTTATATTTGGTTCTATCAGGATATATATTTGAAAAGATGTAAAAAGCTCTATCAGTATATATATTCAACTTCTTACGTAATGCGGCAGGATGTAAAGGTTCTATCAGAATATATATATTCAATTTTTAAATATCATTTTTTTGCAAAATATCTTTCAAATAGTTGGTGGTTCACATCTGTATCAAAATCCGAAAATGAAAAATTAATGCAATTTCTTATTCATAAAGTCTAAAATTTATGTTTGAAAAAAATAGAAATTAGAATCATGTTTTTATCATACACAATCATCATTCAAAACTTCTTGATACACCACATTTGATGTGTAGACTCCTTCCTGGTTGAACTTTTTGGTAGGTTTCACTAATATCTTCGTATTACCACGTGATATCCCTCTGGACWATGCCACRTAAAGTTGGYCGTGCGAGAATACYGATTCCGGTAGATAAACACYTACCACCGGAATTGTCTGTCCTTGAGCTTTATTGATTGTCATGGCAAAACAAAGTCGAACGGKAAATTGTTTTCTCTTTAATTTAAAGGGAAACATATCATCTTCAGACGGACATAGAGGAATTCTTGGTAAAAATWCCCTCTTACCAGCATGTTGGCCAACAGCTATTTCTGCATCGATAACATTCTGCTGAAAACCTCTACATATCAACCTCGTGCCGTTACACAATCCATTTGAGGGGTCGATATTCCGCAATAGTATTATTGGACATCCAATTTTCAGCCGGAGGTAATGAGGGGGCAAACCGCTAACAGTCAGTGAGTTTAAGAACTCCATCGGATATAAGTTATTCTTGTCATCTTCTGCTTCATCAAAACTATAGTAAATTTTTTCCTCTCCACAGAATTTTTCAATCAACTGATCATTAATCTCGTCGACATGCTCATTTTTAGTTGTTAGTATCGCCCTCGAAATGATATAATCTGAAGCAGTCTCACAGCTTTGAAGAGAAGGAAAGATTGCATCAATCAAAGCATCTTTCGACTCATTTTTACTTGTGTAAGGAATGGTCATGTCATCAGGTATGCGAATAAAGTTTCCGTCTACTGATTCTTCATCTCCATCGCCGACACGTAACAGAAAATCCGAAAACCATGGATCAGTAAGTGCTCTCATGTTGATCGTTAACCGCAACTTTTTAATCGAAGACCAAATAGGTGACATCCGTAAGCTTGAGTCTACAATCTGTGCTCGAGTACCATGTCTGATTACTGGCAACACCTGTCTAAAATCACCTCCCATAATCATTATTTTCCCACCAAAAGGAAGTCTCACCCCAGTGATGTCTTGCATTATTCTATCGAGTGCCTCTACTGCCTGCCTCTTTGCCATTGATGCTTCATCCCAGATGATTATTTTTGCGACTCGAAGTAGTTGAGCAGTTTCGCTTTGTTTTTTTATATTGCACATCAAATTATTATTAAGAGTAAGAGGAATCTTGAATCGAGAGTGAGCTGTTCTCCCTGCTAGCATGTTATTAGCGGCAGCGCCGGATGAAGCGGTTGCGAGAGCAATAAGTCCACGGGAACGAACATTAGCTAGCAAAGCTCTATACAAAAATGTTTTTCCAGTTCCACCCGGTCCATCTACAAAAAACACAGCTGGACAATCATTATCTACATGCCTCATGATCTCATCAAATGCATGTTTTTGGTCGGAATTTAGAGAGTTTCGAGCATTTAAGTCTTCGTCTTGCACAATTATGGAGTACTCCTCTTGTACCTCACGAAATCCTCGTGATTCTAAATTGACAACTGCATTTAAACTTGGCAGATCAAAATCATCGAGGTTTTTACCCATAGATTGCAAAAAGACTGCGATGTCTGTAAGAACCATATTTCGGACTCCCTCAACATTTTCATAGTCTCGTCTATAATCTTCAAAGAGTGAATCATAATGTTCATCCCATAACTTGCGAACATCTCCCGGTTCACAATAAATCAAGATCATCGCGAATAATCGTCTAAGAGCATTGGGAAACTGAATAAAGAGGCATCAGCAAGACAATGCGATAAATTATCGTCGGTCTCTATTAAACCTCTCTCAAGTGCTGCTTTTCGAAATGTTGGATGTATTACGCCATTAAGTATGTAAAGATCTTCAAAGCACGTGGGCCCACTAATATGAGACAAAAGTAGGCGTAGATAATATCGTTCTCCTTTGGCAGGATTAGCATGAACCAGTCGTCCTCTCATTGATCCTTGTTTTCGAGGATTCCGTTTACGTGAACTGGCATTCCATGTGTAATGTTTTGGAAAATCTTTGTATAAATATTGTCTCGCACTCATATCTGTTCTATTCCTCTAAAAAAATGCGGTCAACATTGAGCTATTGTCTCTCTCTCTATCAACGATATCTGTCATTATATCATTCTCTCTGAACCTAACCAGCTGTTTATTAGGAAGATGGACCTGCAAAGCCATCACACAAGGGTGGATTTGAGAAAGTGAAAAGCTAAAAATCCTCCATATTGCCTCAGGTGGCGAAACATATCGTGCATCTTGAAATCTCTTTATCTCGTTGACAATGACCTCTTCTCTATCAGGATCAACATGAATAACCGGTTTGTCATGACCCTTGTAAACATACTTGAACACATATTTCACAGATATTATACTTGAGCAAACCTCAACATTGATGTGACAGTTGAACATCATTAGCAACTTTGGRTTATATGRGACCACCCATCTATTATCAAGGATATTGGCCTGGACGTTCACCTTTATTCCATTGTCTCTCCTCCGATACATCGGATATGAGTTATCTGTCTGCACCGTCTTGTCGTTGAATTGTTGAGGATATCTAAAAC